GTTAGCTTCGCCACGGTGCAAATTAAGACCTGCAAGAGGGACTCAGGAAGTCTTGGTTCTATTCTTGAGGGCTCTGCGTAACTTCATCTGTATCTGCTCTTGTCATGTTTGAATGCCTTCAGGAACTGGGACCTCAGTACTTTCAATGGTAGCCCGTGTCACCTTGAGACAGTTAGGGCTGTGACAATATTTTTTCATATACAAGACTGAGAATCTGTTTCTGGGGCTTCAGTATAGTACTTGTTTCAGTTTCATCCCTTGGGGTCTATGATGGCTTGAGTGGTAGTATCCCCTCCCAACCTCATGTGGAATGCAACCCCCAGTGCTGTCATGTTGGGAGCTGGGGCCTTTGGGTGTGACTGAGTCAGCCCTTGCCAATGGTTTTGTGCTCCCTGGCCTTTCTGCCTCAATCTTCATGTTGGAACAGAGAGAAGTCCCTTCCAGGCACTGATACCAGCACCCTTGGGCTTCCCAGCCTCCAGAACTATAAGAAATAAATTTATGTCCTTTTTTAAACATTTATTTTGGATCAGGGTCTTGCTAAGTTGTCCATGCTGGGCTCAAATGTGTGATTCCCCCACCTCAGCCTCTCACAGTACTGAGATAAATGAATGTTTTTTATATATACCACCCAGTCTCAGATGTTTCATTATAGCGGCACACATGGGCTACTCAGAATAAGTTCTGAGTTCATAGCAGCACAACTTCTTAAAGAAAGGCTTTTGTCCCTCTTGAATTTATTTTCTTTTTCAGGGAGCCTAATCTCAAGTTTCCTTACCTTTCTGGTTAGCTCAGATTGATTTGATATAGTCTCTGCCCTCTACTCTCTCTATATCAGAACTAAACATTAGACTATGGAGTGTCAGATGGGGTGAAATCCCTAGAGAGCCAATGATTGACTTAGTGTATGTTCAAAGGCTTGAAAGCCAGGGAACCCAGGAGGTGAGTTCTAGGGAGAGGGCCTGGGAACAAGGGAGGCAGGGGCCAGAATGCTGGTGTAAGTGCTGGACTTTTAGTATTCCAGAAGTTTTGATGTCTTCCAGTGTCAAGGGCAGCAGAAGATGGACAACTCAGCTCAAGTGGAGAGAGCAAATGTGCCCTGCTGCCACCCTCTGTTCTGTCTGCCTCAGTGGACCCACTGATGGGTGTCCAGCTCTTTACCCAGTGGATTGGTCAGCTTTCACATTGCTGGGAAACAATACTCGACCCCCACGACTTAAAGGAGGAGAGGTTTAATTTGGCACATGGTTTCAGGGGAGTCAGTCCATGGTTAGCTGGCTCCAAGGCAGAAGTATCATTATGCAAAGGCATGGTGGAGCAAACATATTTAGTTCTTGGCAACCAGGAAGCAGAGCAGAGGAAGAATACCAGAGAAAAAGGCTGAGGGACTAGGTATAGTGCCCAAGGTCACACTTCCACGACCATCCCAGTGTGCTCCTTAAACTCCCTGGGTAGCACCCAAAGCCAATCAAACTGACACTCTGCCCTAACTGTCATACTCAATCTACTGATTCAGATGCTAACCTCTTCTGGAAACACTCAGAAGAAGCATATGGCATCCAAAAACCCAGGCAAGTTGACACCTGAGCTTAACCATCACTCCCAGAATGCATCAGCAGCCTGAGCCAGTCAATATCTGTAGACAAAGCAAGACCACACAGCACCCTGAAAGCAGCCAGCTGTACCCTGGCTCCTGGAATGAGAAAACTGAAACTCTCAGAGACTAAATCACTCTGCCCCCGCCCACAGTAGGACATTAGCAGAGAAACAGGATGCGTTTGTGTGAGTGGGGATGGAGAATATGGGGACTGTGGGATCACCTTCCTCCTATCTTATTTTGGACTCCCTGGTAAGCAGAGTCTGCCTGGCTCCAATACTTCAATCTGAGTATAGTTGGCCCTTGGATTCTGCCTTTGTAGTTCAACAAATGGTGGAGAGAAGATGTTTGAGGAAAAAAAAATCCTACAACAATAAAAAAGATAATTCAACAATAAAAATGATACAAATAAAAAATCAATGCGATAACTAGTTACATGGCACTTACATTATATTAGGTATTATAATAAGTCATCTGATTTAAAGTGCACAGGAGGAAGTGTTTGGGTTTTTGTTGTTGTTGTTTGTTTGTTGGTATTACGGAGTGAACCCAGGGCCTTTGCACTGAGTTACATCTCCAGCCCGTTTTTACTTTTTAGTTTGAGACAAGATCTTGCTAAGTTGCCCAGACTGGGTTGAATTTGCAAGACCTCTGCCTCAGCCTCTCAGAGTGCTGGGATTGTAAGTGTGTGCCACCATGCTTGACTGCACATGCCACTTTATGTAAGGATTTTGAGCACCTGTAGGTTTTGATATTCTTGGGAGACTTGGAACCAGATGCCCCTGGATACCAGGTTATCTTCTCCAGGAGGAAGGTAGCTGGGCTGAGTTTGGAATGAAGATTGCTTTATGGGGACATTCCTGGTGCCTGGACTCACATCCCAGGACAAGAGACTCAGGCGCTGGGGAGGATCGATGTGCCCAGAGATAGAGCCACCTTCAGGCTGGAGGCTGTGTTGCTGTTGGTGGCTGGCACACATGCCCTCCCCATCCCCCCTAGGCAGAGCCACACGGCCTTCACTCATCTCATCTCTTCCTGGGATTTCCCCGGAGATGTTGGGAGTGTTGACCACCCCTTGTCCTCTCAGTGTGAAAGGGCACTGTCACATCAACTGATCATGGCGTGGGTGCCAACTGTACCTTCCCATAGCAGCAGCTGGAGCAAGAGATGCCGCTTGCCTGGGACAGGAGGATGGCAAGCCGAAGGGAATGCGCTGGGCCTAGGAGGGTGGGAGCGCCAGCACTGTACCCAGCCTCCGAGGAGGGAGAAGGGCTACCTCCAGCCTGCTTTCACTCCTGCTCCCCCGGCTCTGTGACTCAGAGGGAGCTGGAAAGTGACTGTAAAACGCGCACAATGAATGTGGATTCTCCAAGGAGAGGGAGGGTCCCTGAGGAAAGAGGGGTATTTTCCACAGCTGGGCCTGGAGGTGGCACAAGCTCACTGACAGACTTTCAAAACTGGAACCCCAACCGGGGTGTGCTGAGGGGCAATGGAGAGTCTGGGGGGCAGGCGGTCTCTGGGTGTACTCAGGGCTCCCCTCCCACACACAGACCATCTGGATTGGTCCTGCCCTCTCTTTCTCTGACCCAAATGTCCAAGGGACCCGCCGCTCTGGCTCTAGCTCTAGCTCCGGAGCAGAAAAGCTGAGGCCTCCTCTGTCCAAGCCTGGGAAGGACTTTTGGCGCAGTGTCAGGGTCCGGTCCCGGCTCGGCCAGGGAGGTCTGATGAAGAGAATAACAATCCCCAAGGGGTGGGCGCTGTTCCCATTTTAATCTTTCCCTTTTGGCAGAAACTAACTTTTCTGTAAAAACAATGAAAAATCAGGGTGGAGTTTCCGCCTCCAGCCACTCGGCACCCCCGGGAGGAGTTCTGTGGCTGGGGGAGGCTAAGGCAGTTGGCTCTGGAGGACGGAGCCCCAGCAGCCCGGTGCCCCAGCCGCCCAGTGGCCAGCCAGGTCGTTGCTTGCCTGTGTCCCTGCTGTCCTGAGGCCCCACCTGCCGTGCAGAGGCCACCCTGTGGCCTAGACCTTGGGGTTCACTGATCCCTCACAGGGCCGGCCTCACTGAGCCACAGTTCTAGGGACTGTGGAGAGCAGGCTGGGCTACGTGGCCAAGCAGGTAAGGAGTTTTTGGTTAGCAGGTCCATCTCGCCCAACTCCTGATGTCAGGTCCAGCTAGGACGCCCATATCTGTCCTGCTGCTGGCTCCTTGCTCGCCACACCCTGGAGACTCAGCTCTGAGCTGCCATTCTGGGGGACCTCATGTCCCTTGCTGGGCTTTCTGGCTTCCTTTCATATTTTACACAGCCATTCTTCGCTGTGGTTCATAGGACTTGGTCAAAAGTCTTGCCTCTGTGTTGGTCAGCAGCATCTAGAAGATCTCAGAATGAAATTGTAGAGGGAAAATGCCTCCAAGAAAAAGTTCCCAGGGCGGGCTGGGGGTGCAGAACCCCAGGCCCTGGGTCTTGGGAAGAGTAGATTCAACAATAAGGAAACTGGGTGAGGAACAGGCAGGTGAGGATTGGGAGCCCAGAGCTGACTCGGAAGAGGGCGCTGTGGGGGCGGCCCTCGCCCACCCCTACCAGTCCTCTATTTCTTTGTGACCTGAGGCTGGGCCTGCCAGCATCCTCTTCTTTGTGTTTTTGTGACACAGTTCCTTGTACAGTGGAAGCTTCTAGAATGAGGCTCTTTGCGGATGGGGGCACAGGGTCATTGGTACGTATTCCTCCTAGTGACAGATGGGACACTCTTGCTCACAATCATGATGGAGTCCCTGAGAAGAGGTCAGGGATTCAGTGATTGGCTAGGGTGAAAGGCCTCAAGAAGCCAAAAGCAGGCTTGACATTGTGCAGGTGGGGAAGCTGAGGAACAAGAAGGAAACTTGCCAAGGGCCGCTCCCCAGTTCACAACTGAGGACTGGAATTGCAGTCCAGGGCTCTTGGCTCTCAGAGCTGCCTTTGCCATCCAGCACTCCAATCCGGGGCAGGAGGGTCAGTGAGGGGAGATGGACAAACACACCCATGTTCACACACACACACACACACACACACACACACACACACACACACACTCATCCCCATGCGTCAGCAGAGCCAATTTAGAGAGCTGGGTGGAGGGCAGAAGGCCCCTGAGGCTGTGGGTCCCTGGGGGCTCAGAGAGGAAGAGCCACCAGCAGCCAGAGGCCTCAGAAGCTAAGTCTCCCACAGATGCTGTTCTTTGTTTCCATTAGGAGAAGATCTCAATTAAAATAATTACAGATACAACAAAAAAATCACAGGGAGAGCAGGAAAAGGGAGTTCAGTTAAATGCAAATATATTCAGAATAATGTTATGAACTCCATTCATCCCCTATGAAATTACCCATTAACAATTACACGCTAATTACCCACCTTTTCATTGTTTTAGAGAGGAAGAGATTCATTCTGGCTAGAACTGAATAGACACCCGGGATATCAAGCCACGCTCTTCACAGTGGACCAGAACACCTCCTACCTTTTGATTAAGGCACCAGGATGTTAAAATGGCACTGCAGAGCTGAGAGCTTTGTCTTCAAACAAACAAAGAAACAAACAAACAGAACCGAGTCTTGCTTTCCCATAGGAAGAGTTTTTTTCTTTCTTCTAGACAGGGTAAATTGCAACAGACTCCAGGCTCTTGTCTGGATTCTGCCTCTGTGAGCAACCATACTAGGGCCTAGTGAGTGAGTGGTGTCTTATTTGCATTATATAATTTAATTTATTTTATTTTCCTTCATGGGAGTGGCGAGCTGTGATCTCTTCCTCTGTTCCAGGCTCCTCTCGGGACCGGCTCCTCACTGAGCTGTGGCTGTTGAGGCCGAAGGGTGTGTCAAGACGAGGCAGGTGCTCTGCAGGGGAGCCCCAGGTAAAGGCCTAGGTGACCGGTGAGGCAGAAGGGCAAAGCACCTGGGAGCAGAGCACTGTCTGCGTGTCTGTCCAGGGCACTCCATCTGACTTCCAAGACTATCTGGCTGTTACAGTCAGCTCCTCCTACAGGCGGTGAATTTTCTACTGTTTGATGTTCCAGCCTAGTCCACTCTGTGCCAAGCAAAAGCACAGACATCCTTTGTCAAGGCGCACGCTCCAGATGTAGGTTGAAAAGATTTGGGCCCTCAACTCTCAGTGTGAGGGGTGGGCTGGGGGACAGGACGGGGAGCACTAGCTTAGGCACTCTATGTGGCCTCCCTGACTCTTCTCCCCAGCAGTTCGAGGGTGGGGATCTCTCCTCAGTCCTAGGAGTTGACTTGTCCAAAGCTACAAACAGGAAAGCTGGAAAAGGTGGCCTCTCTGCCTAAGAAGTCACATCAAATGGGAGGGTGCCAGGATTGAGGCCCCTGCACCACGAGCCAGTGCTTAAGGTGGGGTCCCAAGGCCAGGAGTGCTCCCTGACCTCAAGGACATCTAGAGGACTACGTCCTCACTGCATGAATGCTCAGCTGCCATCTCGAGAATGAGGCAGCTGCGTTCAAATCCCCGTGCTATTGATTCTCAGCTGGGTGGCCTCAGGCCAGTTACGGAACTTCTCCGAGCCTCAGCTTCCTCTTCTGTAAGATAACCCCCAGCTCCCTGAGTCTGTGCAAGGGGTCACTGAGCCTGGTGTAAAAGATGTGCACAGGTGGGCTGGCCACATGCAAGGATGAGTGCTGGGTGTTAGCAGAGGTCTCCTGCGTGGTCTCTGACTTCCTGACATCTCTATGGACACCAAGAGCAGCCAGGGACAAGAGACAGCTGGGGAGCAGTGGCAGGCAGAGTTTGCCCTAGGTGTGGTGGAGGGAGGATTTCCTGGCCTGGCCCAAGCGGCCGTCAGTTTCTAAAGGAGAAACCGGCCATGTGAGGTTGAGGTGGGGCTCAGATGGGCACCAGAGCTCCCTCCCCTGATGTTGGGAGGAGGGTTATGCATGGGGAGGATTCTGAGGCCCCAGAGACACTGCTGTTTTCCAGCCAACCTGCTGTGTTCTACACAGTTGTATTTGTAACTCTGGTTTCTTGTGAAAGTCCCTCTTGACTGTGCTCTGCCTGGTATAGCCAGGTGGGCTGTGCCAATGGGAGACTTCATCCTGGAGGGTGCCACGTGGTCTCTTAGCCTGACACAGGGAGCCCTAAAACAACACATTTTTCTGAGTCTAACAGGGCCAACATTCAATGGTGACTACAGGAGGACCCAGGCCTGTACTCCGGGCCTTACATAGCAATTTTACCTGTGAACTTCACTGGCTTGAGAACTGCCTAGGGAATTGGTAAAGCACACTTGTGAGACTGTCTGTGTGGGTCATTGAGGTGTACCTGTGGGGACTCTATTTGGTCCCTGGCCCTTTCCTGTTTGGTGCATTCCCCTGTGTTGTGTGTCTTGGCTGCCAGCACATGAGCAGATTTGCTTTACCACATCCTTCTGCCATGATGTCCCTGCCTTGGAGTCAGTAAACCATGAACTGAACCCTCTGAAACAATAAGGCAAATTAAATCTCTCCTCCTTCAAGTTATGGGTGTCAGATATTTTGTGCTAGAGATGACAAAGCTATCTAATATAAACTCAGTGAGGTGGATTTTATTTTACAAAAGAGGAAACTGATGCCAGGCATGGTGGTGCATAACTGTAATCCCAGCACTCTGGGAGGCTGAGGCAGGAGCATCACAAGTTCTACTCTAGCCAGGGCAATTTAATGAGATCCTCTTTCAAAATAAAAAATACAAAAAGACTGGCGATGTAACTCAGTGTGAAGATGCTGAGTTTAATCCCCAGTACCACAAAAAAAGAGGAAACTGAGGCTCAAAGGGGTTCAATCACTTGCCTAAGGCCACATAGCTAAGAATCATCTGCAGAAGAATTTGAACTCCAGCAGTCTGACTCTAGAGTGCCTGACCACAGCTTGCCTCCTGGATACTAAATGTGCCCTGTCTCCTCAGTATAAGCCAACCCAACCTTGTTCTACCCCCACCCCTTTCATTCCTTGTCTTGGTTAAAGAGGCCTCCAAACTCCATCTCCTTAGGTGGAGACTGGGGGGAGTTTCACTCCATTCCTGGCCAGGTCTGCAGCAGTCCTTGCCTGCTGACTCCATTGCTTCTGCCTGATGCCAGCTTTGGTTCAGCTTTCTCACTTCCTGCCTGGGCGGGACCCCAGCCTCCTGGCTGATCTCTGGCCTCCTTCCTGATCTCCATCCTGCCTGGCCTGGCTACCTGCCAGTCTGGCTCTTCCCACTGCACACAGGCCCAAAACCAGACCGTGAAGGGTGTACTTGACTTCCAACCCTGCGATCCTGCCCCTGGCTGTTGACAGCACTCGGCAACCTGTTGTCCTCACAATGTGCTTTATTGTTCCATGACTCCACTCCTTACTCATGTTTCCTCAGCCGAGAGCACCCACCCTCGCCCCTTGTCTACTTGGCAAGCTCTTACTCATACATTAAAACCCAGCCTCTGGTTACTTCCCTGCATTCTCTTTCCTCTCTTGGGCTACTTCTAACTAATTTGAACACATGGTATCATTGTCCTTGTCACTTGCCGATACTGATCTGCTCATCAATCACTATCCCTCTTTAGTTTCCAAGTTCCCATGGAAGGTACTAGAAGCGTGTCTGGATTCCCAGTGTCCAGCGGAACCTGGTTCTCAGTGATGCTGGCCCCATGGAACTGGACGACCTTGGTCCCGACCTGCTCCATCTTCAGGAGGCTCCTACTTGTCTACGGACTTGCAAACCCTGGCAAGCCCATTTGTGGTTTGCTAATGGGCTCACCTCTCTCCTGCAAGGTCCACATGTTCTGGCCTAAAGAGAGTCTGTGACCCACGCTCTCCTCCTGATTCTCCACTCACAGGTGTGGCTATGGTGAGGGCAAACACCAAAAGATAGTGTTTGCTCTTGAGAAGGGACGCATTCCGACCAAGTTGGCTAGTAAGTGATTTTCTGCAAAGTAGAATAATTGGTTGAATGTTCCCATGGCAACAGAGCCTTTCCTGGAAACCACTGGAGGGAGAGGAAGGCTGTGGTTCTGCCTGGTACTGCAGGGCCCTGGGTAGGGCCAGCAGAGATGGTGATGCTGCTCGGCATCCGGCTTCCTCTGTGCACAGCCTCGCCTGGCCCTCCGGCTGCTCTCTGCCTGCCTCCCTGGGCCTTAGGCACATTTCCATGCCACTGCCCTGCAAGAGCACTTGAGCAGGTGCTCACCGTTCCCAGAATTGTCCCATTTCCTCATGTTTAAGTGTGGGTTTTAAGAATGGCACTATCTAGGCAGGGCATGCATGAATGATTCACCCAGCGCTTTTGTAGGCACTGCTGTGGGGTTCTCAAAAATGGCCTTGGAAGGCTATGCTATTCACAACCCACTTCCCAGATGGCCATGAGGCTGGCACTGAGGACGTGACTGGGAGCACAAAGAGGCCAGAGGTGTGGCCAGCTGCCGGGCAGGGTCGGCCCAAACACTCTTCAGCACGGGCGTTCTCTTCACCCTGTTGGGAGGCAGAGATGGGAGGGGACCTTCCCTTACCCACCCTTCCCTGCGCCTGGAATCCCAGAAACAGCAACCTCCTGGCTGTGGAGGGCAGGTAGAGTGGGCGTGCTGCTGCCTCTTCCTGTGGGATTCCTTGCACCGGCCTCCCTCTCTGGGTGCCTGGAATCAAGGTGGAAGGATAGAGAAGGACAGTGCCCCTGCATCTCATAGCTGGTCTTGGAGCAGGAAAAGCACCAGAATCTACTGGGCGAGAGGCTCCACTGTGTGAGCATGTTGATGTAGCTGAGTGTGCATGTCAGTGCGGGACAGAGCCTGTGTTTATGTATAAATACAGGAGTGTGCGGGGGTGTGGGAAAATGTGTTTGTGTGTGTAAATGTTTGTGTGCATGTGCACTGCATTATGAGAGTGTGTGCACACGTGTGTGAAGGCATGCATGCAGACCTGTGTCAGCATAAAAGAGTGTGGGGTATGTGTTTACGTGTGAATGCATGTGTGTGTGTGAAAATACACACGTGTGTGTCACAAAAGAAAACAATGTGTGTGAATATGTATGGGAGTGCAGATGAGGGTGAGGTACAGCTGTTTCCATGGTGACGGGTATGTGCTAAGGGCCCCCCTGACCTCCATGGCCAGTCTCCCACTGGGAAGGGAGAGAGGTGGAGGCAGCAGGATGTGAGCTTTGGGGAACTGGTGTGGCCTTCTCCTTCCTTCCAGCAGCTCCATGGTGCATAGGCTACACCATTTCTTGAGTGGGGGTGGGGGTGGGGACCCATGCCTGCCAACTCTCCCTGCGACACCTCTTCTAGACCTTTGACTCTTTCAGCTGTGCTCCCAGATACTCAAGGCAGACACAAGTGGTGACCCATCAAATTCATGACCCCAGAGATACAGAACAAAAGGGATGTTTTGCATTTTTCTATGTGTTATGGTTTGTATCTGAATGTCCCCACAAAGTCTCATGCAGTCATGGGGCAGGCTTCTAGAGTTTTTGATTGATCCGTGGTCCAATGCTGGGATTCTGGGTGTGAGTGCTACACCCAAAGGCGGTAGCCTGCATACACATAAAGGAGGGAAAGAGGCTTGCTCTTTTTGATCTTGCTGCTTTTGCTGTTTCCTGCTGCCATGAGCTATTGCCCTCTGCCATGTGCCACTCTGCCTTGGAGCCAGACAAGTATGGACTGAAAACTCGGACTGAATGCTCCACAAACTGTGAGCTAAATAAACCTTTCCTTCCTTAATTCTGGGCATCAGGTATTTTGTCTCAGCAACAAGAGAAAGGTAACCAAGAAAATATATCACAAGGCATGGGATCAGGACAATCCCTACATCTGTGTCGCAGAAGGAATGCCCCACTCAGAACTCCTGGCACATACACATGCCTGCTGTCTCTCAAGTTCTCAAGCACATGGAACCATCCACAGGTGCATTAGACCAATACATCCTAAGCCAAAGCCACCATTGTCCTACCCACATTTGAAACATGGTTGATAACCTTGATAAAATCAACCAAGAGAGTCCATGACCTCTGCATAGGACAACAGGGGCAGAGTCGAGGGACGTCTGCTGGGGATTGGCTGAGGTGGTGTGTGGCTGTGAACAAAGAGCAGAGATGTGGATGAAGTTGTGATCTTGGTCTTGGAGTGCTTCCCCTGCACCAGTGAGTTCACCACCTGCCAGACACTGGTCCTGAGGGTCTTCCCGCTCCCTGGGAGGCAGCAGGCGCTGTGATGTGCTTTACAGTGAGCCTTGAGTAGCATGGTGCTTGCCCCCTCCTGAGCTGCCTATGCCAGATGTCACCAGCACTCTGAAGAAGCAAGGCTGAATCATGCTCTGGAAATCAACCAGTCTGCCTTGTGCTCCTCACATATGTGGGAATAAACCTGTGCTTTTTTCAATACACTGTTTACTTTCTGTATTTCTGTGATGTTATAAGGAACATATTTTTATTAAAAAATATCATGTCTGACAATCTTTGTCCTTTAATGGAAGTATTTAGTCCATTTACATTTGATCTAATAACTGATTTGTTTGGGTTTAAATCTGTCATCTTAGTATGGTTTTATATCTGTCCCCTTTCTTGCCTTTAGGATGAATCCAGTGAAGTCAGTGATCTCACTTTCTCCACTATTAGTTTGTCAGTTGCACTGTCCTTTATCATACTTTGAGTGGTTAGTCTCCTAGATATTACAACACATGTTCTAAATTTCTTGAAGCTAATAACTAATGCTTTTATGTAACAGCAGGGCACAAATTACACAAAAAGTCTGTAAGAAATAGAAAATACAGGTATCTCCAGTTGAAAATACAGTTGGACTCCCACAGATAGCAAAATCTGTAGATGTTCGAGACCCTTATGTCGAATGGCACAATATTCACATATAACCTATATGCATCCTCCTCTACAGTTTAAACCATCCCTAGCTTACTTGTAATAGTATATTATAAAGTAAATGCTATGGAAATTTGTGTTCTATGTACTGCTTAGGGACTACTAAGAAAAAGATAGCAGTGTTCAGTATAGACACATTTTTTTTTCTCAACTATTTTAGATCCAAGGCTGGTTGAATCTGAGGATGCAGAACTTGTGTCTCTGGAAGCCCAACTGCATGCTTAACATTACTTAGCTCTGAGTTGTGGGGCTATGCGTAGTTAAAATTTTTTATTCTTTACCTTCCTCTGTATTTAAAAAAAATTACGATAATTATATAATTAATTTTTATAATTAGAAAAAAATAGATTTAAGTAAAGATGGTGTACAGAGAAAGAATCATTCCTTAGAGAAGGGCTGTGGAATCCAGGCACCTGGACTCTTTCATCTGAGGGTTCTCTGTGCTTTGAAACATCCTTATTCACTGCCTGCTGTGTATGTGGCACTGAAAGTTTGCTCTGACTCCAGGATTTGTCTTATGAACATTGTACCTTAGCTTCTATTCTGCAGGTAAGGTATTTGTTAAAGTTGAACATACATTCAGAAAATCACACTTTACACACACACAGGATTCTCACTGCTGAGTGTGTCAGTATCACCCCCACCTAGAGGGGCCTCAGTTTCTCACCATCATTGGTGCACACAAGGTAGACACCATCTTGATTTGCACCACCAAAAGTTATTTCTCTATTTTTTAAAAAAAAATCCCAGCAATGGAAACTCACAGCATGTCTTCTTTTGTTTCTGTTTCCTCTTTAACTGGCCAAAACCAAGGGCAGGGCAGGCTCAGCACCAGTCAAGGAAGGGGCTACTAAGGGCGTGGGTACAGGCAGACATGGACTGATTACGTGTTATTCTTTGGACAATCCATTCCAGAGGTGCAAAAAGACGAATCTGTTTTGGTGGCAATAAGAGAAAAATATAATTATAACAATCTGACATTGTAATTAAAATGTTGCATTTACTCTCTGGGAGGCTGAGGCAGGAGGATCACAAGTTCCAACCTAGCCTGGGAAATTTAGCCAGACCTTGTTCCAAAATAAAAAAAAGTAACAAAAGGGCTGGGGATGTAGGTCAGCTTGAAGGCCCTGGGTTCAACCCCTAGTACTGGGATGAAAAGGAGGCTGCACTTAACTTCCAAATTCAAAGAGGAGTAGCCCTTTTAAAATTGACCTTCTGCCAAGATGCAGCCTTCTCTGACTCAGAGGTTTAATTACAGGGCTTCCTCTTCCCTCTCCTACCGAACACACTTTGCTGCGGGATAATTAGCTACCTTGGCTGCCTACAGGAGGATGAGTGTGGCTGTGCCAAGAACATAAAGGCGAGAAACAAGCGGTAGCACTGGGGGGCACAGAGCACTCACCCAGATCTCTACCTGATTGTTCCACTGTCTAATGTGATTCCCCAGAAAGCCTACCTTTCAGTGTATCCCTGCATTTGTAGGGAGCAGGAAGCAGTTGGTCTGACTGCCAGGACCAAGAGCCCCAGGGACCAGGTGTCCCTCTTCTGCAGAGGGTCCCCTTCCTGGCTGTATCCAGCACTTTCTGGATGCTGAACTAGAGAACAAAGAGGGGGCGGGCCCAGGCCACACCCACACTCTGGTTTGCAACACCTCCTCCCAGCGAGCTCCCTCCCCACCAGAGCTGTGCTCAGGGCAGAAGGGGCTCACTGCGGATGAGGTGGAAGGAGCCCCGGCAGGTCTGAGTGTGTCCCCTCCACTCCCATTTTACATGTTCAGAAGCAAACACGGTGTTTTTTGGACTGTTTTCCCCTCTGGCTAATCTGTGCTTCTGGTCTCCCCTCCCTCCCTTCACTGCTTATAGCCCTTCCGTGGTCTGTATAATTAAAAAGTGATAATGGCTTTTGTGGTTTAAAAATTAAAATGACAAACAGCCCTTTGAAAGCATCCTGAATGGCTCAAACAGAAGAAATCACAGGTGGGGAGGTAAAGGGCAGGGTAAGAAGAGCTAGTACAGGTGGGGGAGTCACAGCAGGTGCTGGAGGACAGTCAGCCAGGTGAACCACCTGCTTGCAGGGTCAGACTCAAGAGTGTTGCCTGGACCAGCCCTTCTGGTGTTGCTATCTACTGCAGTGTGACAGATTTTCCCCAAACCTACAGGACCCGAACAATGGTAGCCACACACTTTCTGCAACTCAGGAGGCTCCAGGAATCTGGAAGCCACCTGGCTAGAGAGTCTAGGTTGGGCTGTCCCTCAAAGCTGTGGTCAGGTCATTGAGAGGCTTCGCTGGGGTTTGAGGGGCTGCTTCCCAATGGCTCATTCAAATCACCAATAGCTGGGTGCCGGCTGGAGGCTGGAGGCCTCCGCTCTTTCCCGGGTAGACTTCTCCACGCAGCATGTCAGACCCTCACAGTGTGGCAGACTGCCGAGGAGGGAGAGGTGTGGGAGAGAGGGAGGTGGAAGCCGCTGTGCCTGCATCCTTCGACCTCTGAGGTCATTAGACAGCCGGGGAAAGAAAGTTCAGGAAGCATTCATGGGTTTGGGCTCTCTGGGACATAGATGTCCCCTGCCCAAAGCCCAGCCCCATGGGTGTGGGGATCCTGACGCCTGTCCGATGTTGGTGCCGACTCCAGTCCCTAGTGGCTGAGCCCTGATCACCAACCAGGAGTCTGTGACTTGCAAGTTTCCAATACTCCAGGGATACACCGCTTCCAACTGGACCTAATGAAACTCCTCTGCAGGGAAACCAGACAGCTCTGAGCTCAGGGTCTGGCCCCCAGGCCACCTAGTCAATGGCCAGGTCACTCTGCTTTTGCAGGCTCACCCTGAGGACCTGTGGTGCTTTGCACTCATAATTTCTGAGGGCATGTGACTTCCTTCCTCGATCCTCCTGCTGCTGATCAGGTTAGGAGTGGGGTTACTGTGGTGCTCGGTCTCATGTCCTCTCCCACACACCTGGGGCTGATTTTCCAATGTGAGCCTGAATGTTGCATCCTAAATGCAGAAGGTCCTGGGCACACTTTTATGGAATGGAAAAAAGGTACCCTGGAGATCCCCCTGGGGCTGGCAACACCATTCTCCCTGCATTCTGCCCAGCCCTCCCAGCCCCGGGCCCCTCTCTAGTCCTTG